AATTAAGTGGCTCATCAACTTAATTTACAATGGAAGATGCCCATCTACTCTTAATGGACTTTCCTGCTGTGACTAGGTAAAATTATGCATGGACATGTGACTTGTCCATGTGACTCCAAACACCATCTTGTTACTGTAATTTTCCACAGTAAGAACAATGGGATTCCCGCCACATGGCAGAAGCTATAAAAGGCCCTGGAACACTTTCCCGCTTCAGTTTACTTGGCTCCCAAAGTATTTATGTGGCTTAATTAAATTTATGTCATTTAAACAGCCTTCTTAATTATAACAGCAATGGACAGTGCTACTACAGTTACAGGTTTGCCAACAATCCCATCTATATAAAGTCAGTTTTTGAAAGATTTATAACTGGACAAGGGTTGAAATATAGGTTAGATGGCTCAGGAGTGAAGACAACTTTGGGCAGGTAAATGAAGAATAATACAAAATATGATTTAAATTAATTTGTGGATTTTAAGTAAGAAGAGCAAATACAAAGTATTATTATGGACAACATCACAGCAGTCACCATTAAAAGCCAATATTTACATACCACACAGTGGATAAATGTTGTCTTTTTAATGGCCAATAATGTCTGATTTTTAAGTTTATTTACAAACCTAAAATAAAATCTCTCTGTCTTTAACAAACATAGAAGTTAAAAAATAGAATTACCTATGCCCTGCAGCTCTTTCACCTTGTGCTGTGATCTGACATGTCTTGTTAATTTTTAAAACTATCTGTATAAACTAAACTTATATACTGCCCTCCCACCAGCATGGAAGAAGTGTCATATTCAGTTGAGCAGACCTCAAGTCGCTGCCCCGCACATGGGCTGGGACAAGGGGCCCAGACCGTTGTTGTGTGTTTCTCTCTATCAGATGGGCCCAGAGCTCTAGACTGCTTACGGCTCAGTCCCACTAGTGTGACCCGAGGCCGAGGACTAAACCCCAAGACAACGAGGCAGAGTGGCCTCCCTCCCCGCTGGAGAGCGAGGGAGCACTACAGGCAGTATAGCAGGAGTTTACTACAAGTGTTTGAAGACCCAGCAGATGAGCACAGACAGGAGGTGCTCTTGCAGATGACTCCTATATTTGCAGGCTTACTGTGACCTTTCCCTGCAGATCTATACCCTCCCCATCTTCCTGCCATCCTTTGAATCCATCACCCATGAGGGGACAATTCCTAGGAAATGATATTAGGAGATCATCATGCAGTTCTGTTCTGAGTATCTCCGTGGAAGTGGGTGATCTAGCCACTCTGCCTCTGAAAATGAATCCTTGGTTTCAAAGTACTAATGTTGAAGGCACCTAAATAATTAATATTTAATATAATATTTAAGTTCCATGTCTGAGATTGTGAACTCGAAGCTATTATTAACAGTAACTCTTAGCTTTATATTCTGAGAGTGGGGAAAGCATTCATTAATTTTCCCAAGTTTTCAAATTCTCAGATCCATATATCAAATTACTGCACACCAGGGGTTTGTTTATCATGTTAATTTTGCAATGGATCTTTTATTTTAGTTTCTAACTTAAGGTGCATGATGAAATTATGTCTTGTGTAGTCATGCTTTAGAAAATTATGGGCAATATGTAAATGAGAATTGACTGACTTAAGCTAGAAGAGTTCCTTCATTAGTTCACATGGCTGAAACCACACAAGAAATAATACAGAAAATCTATTGTGCTTCCACCCAGTTCCCCCATTTTGTTTGTCATTTATGTCTGTCTGTTTAATGAGTTATGTGCCAGCTTTTTTTTTTTTCAGAAAAAAGTCATATTATAGTATTAGTTGACTAAAATACATTCATGTACATTTAGTTATTAATGCCAATATCTTTTCGGAGAATTTCTGTGATCAGTTAGGCCATACACCGTCCACAATCAGTTTTGGAAGTCTTTGCAAAACACTGATTTACAGTATCTTAAAGACCATCTGATGCCTCAAGAAAAATATTGCAACACTATATAGAAACAATTGTTATAGAATATTTATATTAGTTTCTTTACTTCTTTCTTCATTCCTTGGAAATTTGCATGAAAACAAAATTTTCTAACTGTGAAAGTGTTAGTGTGTTTCTATTGCTTATTCTCCACCTGATGTTTTAGGTCTTAAAGCCTGGTTGGGATTGGCATACGGCCATTGATTTCAATCCTTGTAAAGTGACCTAGCTCTGTTGGAGATGTAGAACTGGACAAAATTTTTCCATCAAAGCTATTTCTGGAGAAGAATACTTTTTGGAAATATTTCATCACTTTTAATAATATGGGTGAAATTGACTCCAGTCATAGCTAACTACATGCAATTAATTCATTTAAGAGACCCTGCGGGATCTTCGCCTTTCTATGCAGCATGGGTCATGGGTCATTTCCAAGTTTAAACTAGTATAAATGGTGAATTCTCTGTAACTTGAAGTCTTTAAATCATGTTTTGAAGACTTCAGTAACTCAGCCAGAGGTTAGGGGTCTGTTACAAGAGAGGGTGGGTGAGATTCTGTGGCCTGCAATGTGCAGGAGATAGATCAGATGATCATGATGGCCCTTCTGATCTTAAAGTCTAGGAGTCTGTGATTAGTATTATGAATATTTATGCTATGATAAAAAATTAATCAACTCCATTAAGTTAATTAAACTAATAATTGGGATTCATAGGAAAATAGATTTTCAGCACATCAAACATACAACTCCAATGGATACCAAAATAATAGAAGCATAAAGCTCTATCTCCACTGACATTTGAAATTGCATTAACAGTTTGTCACAAGACTCATGAATATGTCCAAACTTGAATTTAGTTGTTTTAACAACAGTTTCATTAACACTCGTTAAATAACACAACTGAAATGTCTACTGTAGGAAGAGCACAAATTTTAGTTGCTAATCATTAGTCCCCAGTAGTCTACAGTTAAACATGAGAGATGCGATGGTAAGGTGAGATAATATCTTTTATTGGACCAACTTCTGTTGGTGACATGGACAAGCTTTTAAGCTTACACAGATCTCTTCTTCAGATCTAGGAAACATACTCAGTGTCACGGCTAAATACAAGGTGGAACAGATTGTTTAGCATAAGTAGTTAATGTATTTCAAGGAACCATTCAAGGTGAAGTGGCCCATTAAACATGACTGGCAACAAACATTTGTGTGGTCTCTACATTAGAATTTACGGCCATGTGAGTTAACATGCATTAATTAACGTGTTAAACCATGACTAAAATTTCAATTGTACACATACTTCATCTGTTAATAGAAAGGTGCTAATAGAGTTTGAATGTTAATGTAGACAAGGGCTCAGCAATAAATTATTAGTCTTGCTGTAAACACTGCATATGATGGGAGGTGCTCAGATAGTACAGTGATGGGTGCCATTATAAAAAAAAAACTTGGATGAATGGATAGAATTTCAGGTTCTCAAGCCTCCACTCTCCTATTTCTCTCTGGTCTGTCTAAAATGCTATAGCCAAACTGTATCTACTTCCCTACACACTGACCTTGTCTCCCCATATTTTCAGTCTCCACAGTGGCTTCCCCCTCTTCTCTCACTTAATCTTCAAGTTTCTCTTCACCTTAAAGACTTGGCCTCTTTAATTCAGCTTCACTCTTTATGACCCCTGTCTTTTCTTTGCTCATTCCCAATTTTATGCCTTCTTTCTTCCTAAAAATATGGTGAGTTCTAAACTCAATTCCAAACTTGGTACGTTTGATGTTCAAGTTCAGTTTTAGTTCTGGAAAAACAAATTCTGTACTGTTACATTTCCCCCTTTTAAAAACAATATAAAATAAAATTAATAAAATACTGTTCTAGTGGTCACAAACAGGACAAGGTTGCAATTGAATAGAACAGTTTACATAGCATAGGTTTCTGCTTAGTCAGAACAACATGCTTTAAAAATTAGATTATCCTTGAAGAGCAATCATTTACATTAACAGTGAATTTTAAAAAAAAAGTTTAAAAAGTTTAAACCTTTAAATCCAAAAATATTCTAAAGGGTTTGTAAAACACTAACTTCTGCCAAGTTCTTCTGACCCAAGTACACAGATAACCTTAGCTGTAATGGCATATAGTTCAAGTATATAAATGTTTCAGACCAAATTCAACCCTGGTGTAAGCAGATGCAACTCCCATTTAAGGCCCAGGGGTTGAATTTAGCACTTCATACCTACATTTATAGAAGAGAAGACTAATGTAAGCAAGTTTTTGCTTCACGGAAGTTGCAACCCTTCCAGCAGAGCTGAATTTGGCCTGAAGGATTAATCTCTCTGAGACATAGGACCTGAATTACCACTGTGTTACCCAGTCAGTGGAGTCAGCCTGACACAAAAATGGATCCGCTCAGTGCTGAATCAGGCCTGTGGTGTTCAGAGATGGGGAATATATTAAATAATTTCCTGAACATTTGTCTGAAGAAAAACCCACTTCTGTGTTCACTTTATGCAAATATAGATGCAAATAAATTCACTGGCAGGAATGTTCATGACAATAGCAAATTTTAAGCAAATATAACAGAATATTAACCAAAGTCAGTTTTGAACTCAGAAAAGTACTTTCACTGGAAACCTGGAAACATTCAGACAGCTAAGAAACATACATGATACCATGTAACCTGTAAATCATTGTATAAACCACTATGCATGCAGAATCAAAATGAACCACCACAGCTGTAATTTCAAATATTGACTACTCACAATGAAGTACTAATGAAAAAAACTACTGATCAAGATTATCTGCAGAAATGATTCAGCAAATAATTTCAAATAGTGATTAAACTTTAAAAAAAAATCATTAACTACTTGTGGATAATTCAAATTCATTCATTAAATTACTTGCTATATTATAAATAAGTGAATAAATAAAAACAAACTGTATATAAATGATAATTTACCTTATTTCAAAGGCGTCACTCACGTTTTAAGTGTTTAAAAATGGACATTTCTAAGCCTCTATAAAAACTTTAAACACACATAAGGATGGTTTAGTAAAAAGAAAGAGAAACACACCTCTTCTACATCATTGTCCAAAGCTATGATTTGTAGTGAAGATGTCAAATTCTGGTTGTCAGAGATGGTTGTGCCCACTGGAGAAGACTCCAGAATAAACCCCTCATACAGAGACTCTGTGAAGTAAGGCTTCTGATTGTTCTCATCCAGGACTTCGATATGTAAATTGGCAAAGGCAGGAAGTGGATGACCATTGTCTTGTTCTGCCTAAAAAGACACAAATCTGATTGGCTATGGACTCTTTTTATATAATTTATTAATCTCTTTATAGAGTATATAATTGACTCAGCTCAAGTACAACTATGAATAGTCAATAATTACTACTGCTTTACTTTCAAGGGTAACAATACTTTCACACAGGTAACTAATATTTAGTATTTCTCTGCTTATTTTGAAACATCACATCTCAGAAAAGACACATATACTAACCAAAGAATTAACTAACAAGGCAGATACTATAGATTTAGTCATGTTGATTTTAATAACTAGAGAGAAGCTCAAGACATACAGTATTAGTAAAAATAATTGTTTAATATATCAGTGGTTATAAAAAATCTCTTGCAATGAAGATGAGAGAAGCCACAAATCTCTGCATAAATGTATTCACTGGACAATATAATTACCACCTAGAGTCTAGGTATGAGCAAACCTTTTGGCCCGAGGACCACATCTGGGTATGGAAATTGTATGGTGGACCATGAATGCTCAAGAAATTGGGGGTGGGGGTGGGGGGGCGGGAGGGCTCTGGCTGGGGGGGCGGGCTCGGGGATGAGGCAGGGGATGAAGGAGGGTGCTCCAGGCTGGGACTGAGGGGTTCGGAGGGCGATCAGGGGATTGGGGCATAGAAGGGGGGCAGGGGGCAGGCTCCGGGCGGCGCTTACCTCAAGCAGCTCCCAGAAACAGTGGCATGTCCTCCCTCAGGCTCCTACGCAGAGGCGCGATTAGAGGCCAATGGGAGATCGGGGGTGGCACTTGGGGTGGGGGCAGTGTGTGGAGTCCCCTGGCTCTCCCTACACGTAGGAGCTGGGGGAGGGGGAGATGTGCCACTGCTTCCGGGAGCCATGCGGAGTGGGGCAAGACCCCAACCCCACTCCCCAGCTGGAGTACCACTAGCCAGAACCGGTAATTCCTACTCAGGTAAAATCCTCATTTGGGACAGTGGCAGACATTAGGAAGCAAAGCTCCTATTGTTTAGATGACAATAGCAAAAGACTGAATACTTGACAGAAACCTCCCTTGTAAAAGAAAGTCAGGAACGCACTAAGCTGTAACTAGATATGCCTTGTATTTTCTCTTTACTGTGCCAAATTTGCACACGTTATTGCTTTTCAGATCCAATATCTTACATATGTGGCCCAGAGGTTAAAACTCACTGCAAAGCAGTTTTACACAGTACTAGTTTTGATTGACACAGATTTTTGTATAATTTAGAATCCTTTGGAATAGTAAAATGAAAAAAACATTTAAAATGTGAAGAGAGGAAAAAAACCTATTTTCTACTGATCCCTACACTATATATTTATGCATTACTAGGAATGGACCTAATACTTGTAATAAATGAGGAATTATAATATAAACCCTCTCTACCTTTCAAGAGATTTAGCTGAAAGGGGGAAGGGAACTTGACTGAAATTTCCATATATGGTATAGGATACCTTTTACAGTTCTTATGTTAGAAAAGAATAAAATACATTTTGTCCTGTTTTACACACCATATAACCTCACTGAATTTGGTTTAGCATGATTAAAGTGAAGGAAATATTTTAATCTCCAGTTTCCTGCCTTTCAGGATTTTACCAAATATAAACAACTGTGTATTTATTGTATGCATGCAAAATGTGACATTTTGTGTTAGGACTCAGAGTAAGCTCAGAAATGAAATGAGACAACAACACTTATGTCTCCCTTGAGGACGAGGAGTATTTTCCCCTCCTCCAGTTTCTCCCCTGATATCCATGAGAAGTCTCATAGAAGTATGAGTTTATTCATAAATACACCAGTAATTACTTCCTTACAAACACTGCAAAACTCCCTTACGTTAACATATGCTGCTTAAGCAGAAAGAGTGTTGAGAATCTGAAGAGAAGTCCTGTATTTAAAGAGAAATCTTCCAATAAAAATGCAAACTGAATGCAACCAGGAGGGGACTAAGGAAAAGAGATGCAAAAGGAGCTTAATTTAGCCTTTTGGCTTCTGGTTATATTCCAGGAACAGCATGAGTACTTGCTGTTTTCCTTCTCTAAGGTTTTACTCATGAAAAGTCAACAAAGGAGTCTGAGGAGCCTTATTTGATGATAGTTACTTATTAATTCAAATAATCAAATGGAATTAAAAGTAAACATGTAAGTAAAACACTAGCTACAGAAGTTCACTGACATATTAATATGTACTATTTGTAATATACTTAGTGGAATTATTTTCTCATCCTTATATTATTTAAACAAATACCACTCTCAAAGTATTATTACTATATTCTATCATTGTAAATTGGACATTCAATTTACATACAGAATTAGAACTGCCAACAAATTACAAGTATTTACATATACATTCAGACACAAATATATACCTGCATGCTTAGACAAACCAAATATTTTGAAACTTTATGAATATATGATATTATTTCAGTAATTAGCAAAACACAACATCTTTTAAGAAGTAATTTCTTCAACCAGTTTTTTTTTTAATCAATTCATTTCAGACCACTTTGCCTACAAAAAGAAGTGCTTTCTGTGTATATCTGAGTGCTTAAGTTAAAGAGGCAGTAATGTTTGCAGAAATAGAATTTTTAAATGATAGGCTTGAGCGCTAATGGAAACTAAATATTGACTTCTCATAGAGCACTGTTTGTGACCAATTCAAAGACTTTAAAATGCTTGGGAAAAGTTTCGAATAATTTTAATAAAAATACATCCAAAGAAATCATGATATGCTACTGATTATTCCATAAGCAGAAAAAAAAGAGAGAATAAAGTAGTCATTATGAATAATTCATGCAGCTCTAAATGTATGCTAGTAGACCAAAAAACAGGTTTTGTACACTTGTTGCCTGGGTGAATCTGGCCTTTATCTCCAATATTTGCCTCAGGAACCTGAATCGGAGATAAAGATGTAATATCATAAGATTATGAGAAGTTTCCAGATTTATGTTTTAAAACACTTCTGACTCATGACTCCGTTTTAGCTGTGTTTGGGCCTTTTTTTTACCATGAACATATGGATTGTTTTTATTCACACAGATTTTGTGAAATATATTTGCTTGTGAACAAAGGTATTCATTTATGAAAATAATTATTTTTATTCACTATTACTAAGTTATTCTCATGTTTAAAAAAATTCAGTTATCTAGACAAGAAACAGAAATACTATGTGACTTAGATATCCAATCACACAAAGAATAATGAAAAATCAAAATGCTCTGCAGATAGATCCAAAGGCTGTAATTTGTTTGAATAAAATAATTTGAAACAAATTACAAATAAAAAAAATCATGAACATTATGGTTAGTTTGTCGATTTTATTTGAATATGAGAAAAAGGATAAATTCACAGAATCAATTATTTATCTGGAACAGTCTGACCAGCATTAGTTTACACTGTTTATACTTTTAGTCTACAATGCCATACTCAATTTCTTTGGCAGTATCCATGTAGCTTCTCAGGATTCATTCTTTCATTTTAAAAGATGCAGTTACATAAAACATACGTTTGTTTCAGACACTCAGTTCTGCTAGTAAAAGGAAAGCTGAAAACAAGTTAATTATCTTCATGTCTCCTTTTAAAAAAAAACACAACAAAACTCTGACTCCTTTGTTTCTGGATCCAAAGTGTTTCCGCCTGCTTGCTTTTCTCTTTGGATACCTGCATTTACTGTGTTTTTAAAGCATTTGTTCATGCTTTATTTGATTACACCATAGGGGGGCAATCAGGGAAGCCTAGCCTGCCAGAAACTATGTGCATCACAACCCAAACACAGTGGAGATGCAATCCACTTCCAGGTTGTAGCTCGCTCTCTAGCTGAGAACCATGGTGTTATAATAGACTTTTGTAAACTATACTTTCCAAGGATAAAGTTCAGCATTCTGTTTACAGGACCTGTTCTCACAAGCAAGTGAATCCTATGAATAATTCCTATTACATTAATACCAGAGCGAATTTTCTTTTTATTGATTGTAGATGAGATTATTATATTTGAAAGTATAAATATTTTATTATCTAGTTTCTTTAGTGGATACATTCTGAAACATTTAGAATGGACAACTTTGTATTTTTTTCCAAATACAAAATTCACTGCTATTTGGGATACTATGGGTCACAGTTTATTTTATATTATTCGTTTCATTTAAATACAACATAAAATAATTACTATCCTGGGCTCTAATCAAACTTCATTGATTAAAAAATATGATTCTAGGCTTGGATGACTGCAGAATAATTGGATTCTGCCTTAGCATGTTGTACCTCGTGTTACTAAGAGTCAGTGATCCTTCCAGACAATTATGGATTGACTCTAATGGATCTCTAATGTTCCTCAGTGAAAGCAAAGTAGTCTGTAATTATGGTGACAAAAGGGTTTAAAATGAAGAAAAATTAAGGTATAACTCAGGCCTTCATCAGGGCCATAAGGACCTGGAAAATCATCTATGGGGGAAAAAAAGCTCAAACCAAAAACCTAATGAAGCCTTCTTCTCCAATTCAGCTATTTATCTATAAAGACATTTTGACTTTTCGTATGCTGTTATAATAATCACTCATAACAGAGCAGCCAGATCCTTTACACTATATACAAAGGACTGATTACAGTGTAAGTAAATATCAGAATAATGCTGAGAAAACTTATTTTGTTAGGTAAGTGAACATAAGAGGGAAAATGACAAAATAAAATAAGACTTGTTAAATAATGCCCAAATCAAATATGTTTAATCCTATTTATCATGTAAACTGCTGTAGAATGATGCAATGATTTCATATATTAAATGCAGTTTGCAGTATTTGTATATTTATAGCAATCAATCCATTCCTTAGATCAATGGTTCTCAACCAGGGGTCTGGGGCCCCCTGGAGGGCTGCAAGCAAGTTTCAGGATGTCCGCCAAGCAGGACAAGTGTTAGACTTGCTGGGGCCCAGGATAGATAGCCAAAGCCTCACCACATGGGAATGAAGTCCGGGGTGGGGCCCTGAGCCCCACTGCCCAGAAATGAAGCAGAA